TCCAAGTTTACACCCCCCCCCCCCACATCCCAGAGTATTGTTGCGTGGATGTTTAACTTTAGTAATCATTATGGCTTGCAATTATATTGAAAGACACTAAAAACATCGACAAAATCAACAATGTCTAACTAACCCTAAAATAATATCAAATTTTGATTGGTGAGCTAGACCATAAGAATCGAGAGTGATGAAAAAAATATGGTTGCGGAGAACATTAGGTATGACAAAATAAAACCTGAGCGGAAATATTGTACTTGAAAAAAGAAAATGATGACAGGGCGATAGAAAGTACAACTGCCCCTGTTCTACACAAACAACTATTTGATTTCAAACAAACCTAGCACCCAAACCACCGTTCAGATTCCTTTCCTATATTTTATAAATCAATCACAAACAACTTAGATAAATTGGAAGGAAATAATAGCCTACCAGTTCAACTCAACGAACCTTCTATGAAGATAAAAGCCTCATTGAAGTTGTAACCTAAGAATAGAATGAGGAGCAACGACGCAAGAGATCCACCGGCCTTCAAACATCGTATTACGCAATAGGATCAAAAGAAATAGATCTTCTGCATGTTTTGCTTATGATACAACCTGAAAATAAAACTCAATTTTGTTATTAATTAAAAAGATAAAACCATGAGATAAAGAGAGAAAAAATGAATGACTTACATATGTGAAGCGATTAACCTTGGACGAAGACCAAAAACTCAATCAAGTTCAAAGTATGGTATAGGAAGAGTAGTAAAGGATGACGATATAACTTATCAAACATCGTCTTCGGCAATAGAAGCATCAAAATAGTTCTTGTAGTAATTCATCGATACAGGAGAGATAGAATTATTGGGCGAAATACTACATCTTTCATTTTAATTAACCATGTATCGAGACCAAGAATAAAATAATAAAGTTTAATAACACATTCGAATGATTTGTGACCGATTTTATGCATAAAGTTACCTAAATTCGCTTTGTGTTGTAAATTTTACTTATAGGAGGAAAAAAGTACTAATATGTCATTGCAATCGCCAAGTTTTCTCTAATTTGCACCCTAGTACCCACCCCTACGGTATTACTGTTTCTCATAATCTTCCAGTTTTTTCTAGCATCGATCGTCAATCTTTCATTCCTTTCCTTCAAAAACATATTTTCTCCAAAATTTTAAGATTCTAATATAGAAAATTATCGTACCAGTTCTAACAATCTGTAGATTAGTGGTCACCTAAATAATCTGATTGAATTTTTCTCTTCCAATCTAGTCATGACTTCTTAAACCAGTTGAGATCACAATGTCTACAAAGAGCCCATATTTTACAAAGTCGTAGTTGATCGCTAGTGATTAGCATATCATCTGCATATTGATTTGAACCATGCAGAGAGCATGTGCTTCGTCACTCGCCCCCACCATATGTACGTCATTTTTTGGTTAAACAATTGCTCTTTTTTTGAATTTTTGAATTTTCGAATTTCTCTGCATGGTAAAACATTCAACTAATAACAAACGTGAATGTTTTCCGTATTCTTCCAAATACGATTCTTTTGTTTCAAATCAACAATGCCAATTTCACTATCATATATTTTGTAGATTTAATATACAATTATTTTATTATTTTTTAGTGTAATTAGTTATGACCAAAGGTATTAGCCCGATTTAACCCATCGACTCATTTTACGAAGTGGTTAAAGGTTAATAGGAGAATTGAATTAAACTTTGGTTACCCAACTTTGGCGGGAATAAGAAAAATATTTATATGTTTCACATGTATCGTGCTTAGATATGTAAAAAATTTTAATGGTAAATTTAGGTCAAATGGCGGTTTAATATAATTCATTCATTAGAGTTGAATTGCATTAATTGATACTTTTTTTACTTCTTTCTCTTTAAAAAATAAGAATAACGCTTTAATTATGAAATCTTTCCCTCTTTCTTTTTATTTTTATTTTCCCCTTTAGCTTGAATAGAATGCCTTTGTTCGTACCGGACTCTTTGACTTGGTTGGGATTGACACCTTGATGATTAAACTCATCCTCAACAGCCCTTTCTGGGACATCTCCGGAGCCTAACCGGTCACGACATGTTGTTGATATTGATTGAGTTTGAGGGACTTTCGCTGACTGAATGCATCCATAAACCCAGATCCCCGTAACATTCGTAACCAAAGCGTCACGACAACATCCAAAGGTTCTTTTTGAATTCCAAACGCTTATAGTTCCAGAGAGTATATTGCATTCCAACACACTCGCTCTATGGCTCGCAACAACCTGCTCTTTGGTTCGCCAACATCCAACTCGATAAAGATAAATATGACCAATAGTGGTTCGAATGTATATACAAAGACTTTTTTTTTTTTACTTCCTACTATTAGATAGTGCCCATAAATATAATAAAAAGTACCCTGATCAAATAGCATAATCACGTTCAGGGGCAGGCTTTCTCCCCAAAGCATCCTTTTGCTTGTTCGCCATAGCACAAGCTGATCACACACTGTGACGTCGAGCACTTCGGAGGAAGCGCAGTTAAAAAATTCCTCAGCGATTCTCCAATTAAATTTTAAGCTCATATACAAATAAGAAACTTGGCATTTTTTAGACACACAAAGTCTCAACCCAAATGCATGTTCCTCTAAACTTTTTTTGTGCTTCTTCTTTGTATGAGATGAGGTCGATTGGTGCTATTATTGTGTTGGTGGAGCACAAATGAAATTGACTACTGATGGATTGGGATGGTTTATGAGATGGTTGAGCATTGTATTGTCATATGTCGAGCCTAAAGAAAGAAGAGACGATGAGATAGTCGAACATGGAATTTTTTATGTTAATTTTCGTAGGGTTTGTGATAAGGAAAAGGATGCCACTGCAATGGAGCTACGAATACGATTTGTTGAAAATGACATCATTTTGAAGTGGCCCGGTGCTCGAAACAGTTGGTATTGACTGAATTTTTCGATTTGTTTGGGTTTTTTAGAGTTTGGCCGAGCCCAAGTAGATAACCGATTGGGCCTTTCGCGCACAGTGTGATACTCAGGTTTGTGAATAATTGGTTCGACCGGCCGAGTCAAACTCTGGTTGACAATCATGGTTATGAGTCTTGTCTTTGTTTGAAGATACATTGGTTTAAATCCCAATTTTTTCTATTTTTCTATAAACAATAAAGATAAATTATTGTGAAGACAAAAATATCATTCATAGTTTCACTCTCGCTCTAGGAAATTTGAATGGGGCAACAATTTTCTCATTCCAATATTATATATTGTGGAGAGTGTATATGTAGACATCTCTTTCCCCAACATTAACACATAGAAAGGGTGAAATGAACCAACATATTAAGTTTAACCTCGTCTAATGATTGTTGGATCCAATCATTCCGAATTATAAAGGGGTTTAAAACTTAGCGGTTAGCCGACCTAAAATGTCCTAAGGACTTGTCTCATATAGATTGCTCAAAGATATGAATATGATTGCTTCATAGTATAGTTCTAAAAATTAATACTAATTTACGAATTATGCATATTCAATACTGGATTTTGATACGCAATATTCGAACCATTGATATTTGAGTTGTGATTTTAAAGTTATCCGTATTTATAAAATATATAGAAATTAAAATTAAATATTAAAATAAAATTAAAATAGTTACAATATAAAAATTGAAGTATCAAACATAAACAAGTATTTATCGAAATTTTACTTGGCTGGCTAGCTAACCATTGAAAAGTTATGTGATTTTTTTATTTTATCTTCATGTATGTTTTTAATTGAAAGAGATACAACAAATCAATATAGTGTGATTGATTTTTCGGTTTTACCTTCATGTAAGGTTCAAATCTTACAAGAAACATATTTATTATTGTTCTTTACTTATTAAGAATAAGATGACATTTACTATTATAATATTAAGGAGGCAGAAAATTCGGATAAAATCTCACAATGCACTGCCAAACTGAATTCCTATTATAATGGAGGAATTGTGTACCTGCTGTGTGCTGTCTCAGTAAATCAAGCCACTATCCGCGCTACTATACGTCCAAACATTTAAAGCAACCATCATCACGCAAGCTAAGGGAACAACCCGCCAGCGCCAGTTATGTATTGTATTGTACCGGACATTCCCCATCAATTATGCCCACAGCTAATGGATAATAGTCGATGGAAATTGCATGTTCAATTCAATCTTCTTCTCGTCTTGGTTTGAGGCAAGGTTGTCAAACCACGGGTGGATCCGTTGGTTGGTCCGCTTTGATTATAATACAGTGAGAAAAACGGGTTGTATATATCCGTCGGGTCGACCTGCTGCAAGATATCAAATTTGAGGTAAAATGACATCGTTTTTGTTTTTGTTTCTGAAATGCGTCTATTTTTCGGGGGGTTTTAGCCTAACCCAATTTTTGGAATTCTAAGTGGAATATTTGAACATTTATGTTATATAAGCGTGTGTGATTTTTCACTATATGTTTGTTCCAAGTACGACATGCTATTTTGGTGTAATGTTATATGTTATTACTTGTATATTATATGAGATTTTATATAATTTATAAATGTATGAACAATAGAATGACTTTTATCATATATCCAGACTAAACCGAGCTAAAACGGTCAACTCATTAACTCTCAACCCACTTGCTCGACCGGACCAAAAGACTAAACCGAGTTGACAACCCTTTGAGGTGCCTTCACTCTCTCTCTCCAAACTCACAAATCATGATTGCCCAAATGCTAGTATGCTACTAATTAATTGTTTAAGAGAAAGATTTCCTTTTGGGTAAGTAATCATACAACATATGCACCAAGCCCTTCAAGTTGAAGTTATTCAAGTACGTGTCACTGCCAGCGATGAACTCTTTGGACCCCAACAAATTATGTACCAACCGGTCTTGTATATTACAGATTTGCCCTACTCCTCTTTATTATTAATAAAAGTTAGGCGTCCTTTGCCGGGATTTTTCCAATAATATCACCTTTTAAAAAAATTACAAAAATAACACTCAACCCACATAAATTTCAAAAATAGCACTTTTCTTTCAAAACCGCACCTTCAAGGTGCATTTTATGTGCAAACCGCACAACGAGGGAGCAGTCCCCGCTAGGGCAGCCCCAAAATCGCATTGTCAGCGTGCGGTCCATGTTCCCGAGGCGGCAGTCCCTAGCACCGTTGTATTAGACGGCGATCAAACGGCAAACCGCACGCCAGCGCAGCGATACGCGTCAGTGATCGAAAATTGCGCGCCTTGCGAATGGTTTGCACCTCGGACGCCGTGAACCACTCCCTCCAGGTGCGGTTTTGGAAAGGGAAAAATTACGAAACCGCCCCTGGAGGGTGCAGTTTGAAAACTATAAATACCCCCTCCCCCTCCTCATTTTTTCACACCACAACTCATTCTTCTCTCTCTCTCTCTAAAATTATCTCTCTATACATCCCCCTCCCAAAAGTCTAGGAAATAGTGGTCTGTTGGTTGTGGCTAAGTCCGATCTGCCATTAGAAAACATTTCTTTGTCTTTTTCTTCAAAACCCGCCGAATCTCTGTTCGACTTTCGCAAAAAAATGAATGAGTGGTTCCAAGAAGAGGGAATTTATTATGATGAATTTCAAGCGGCTGTATCTCTTCATCTTGGTATCGAGGGGAGAAAACAGTGCCAGGGTTAGACGCCTGCAATTCCAAAATCAACCTGGGAAGGAATGCATATGATTCTTCCCAATCACCAAAGACGACTGTCAGAGCTTTCTGCTTTCCATGCCACGCCTTCTTATAGTTAATAATATAACCATAACGACTTGTAATGTCAGCGATTATGACTTTCACTTTCAGGTCAGGATCTTGCTCAATTAGATGCTTGATAGTCGCGGCCACCACCCTGAATTTCAACTGTCGATGGCTTTGGGATGTTATAGATGACACACATGTTTGTGTGTTTACCGCACGGGATATGACCCAATAGCCGTGTCTCTTGCTGTTGATGGCCCGAATCCTAGCATTGCATCCCTCTTGTTGATTACGACATCTGACTATGAGCCTCTTCGTGTTGGAATAAGTTGTGTGTCATTCAAAATGCCGAGTCATTGCTTCAGTTTCAATGGCGTGCCGCACCTCCTTCTTTGAACCAAATTGTTGGCCCTTCATAAACCCAGTGAGTGGACCCCATACTGGGACCTCTGGCGGCCCCATGTCGCTGTCGACACACCAATTGTCGTCTGGAATACGAGTGTAGTACGGTATAGGTACACAGTCATGAGACACCTCATCATCATCTGAGTCTGACTCTGGGCCTACTGAATCATCAGCACCTTCAAGAGGGTCGGAGCTGTCTGCACTAACATTGCTCTCTTCTTCTTCATCGGAGGGGTCACTAACTGGTGTTGGCAGGACATCTTCCATCTGATCCAGATCATGAAAGGCACCTTTATCAGCTCCGTAATGGTAGTTGTGAAAACTGTCGCTGCCTGAATGGAAGTTGTACTTGGGTTGGTTGGCATGGTCCCGTTCGACTTCTTCTTCATATGATGGGAAAGATTGATGATGACCTTCACCTTGCTCTTGGTACTGAAAGTAGGAATGAGGATCATGGTAACTTTAGTAGGGATGATCTCCATATAATTCACCTCCACCATGGATACCAGATGTTTGCCCGTCTTCAGAATGACCTCCAACGCCTTCGACCGCCTCGGTGTAAACGAACATCTCCGCTTTGGAAAGATTATAAGAATTCGAGCATGACATCTTCTTCATCCTGAGTGGTTATGAGATATTCCTCATGCCACAACGACCCGCCTTCACTGTTTGGATATCGGTATACCATACTATCAACTCTTCTCGTGTCATCCATGCAAGTAACGTTAGTACACATTTGATGGAGCTCTTCAAGCATCGGTATGGTAGCGACCTTTATTTTCTGAAAATTGCCACTGACGTAGGTGACCCCATTTCCGGTCTCTTCTGTGTAACCATTCCAACGTAACCCAAGCGTGAACTTTTGGAATGCCATCTGCAATGAAATTGTAATTTATTTAAAATCATAAAAATAACAAATCACAATAAAAAGTAATACAAAATAAAATTACGAGTTAACGTTAATCGCAAAAACAATAAAAAGTAGGGTGCTACAACAGAAAATTGAAGAAGAAGGAGAAGGAGAGGTGTGAACGTTAATCGTTAATCGCCTCTGCCTCCGCCTACGCATCGCCCCCCATCGATCTTTGCATCTCCACCCTCCGACCCCGACGACGACCGCGACGACGACTCCAGCCCTCCGCTCCGCCGTTCGCGTGCGCTGACCCCAACCCTCCTCCTCAAATCGCCAACCGCGCCGGCTCGACCTCTGCCTCCACTCGCCGCCATCGCGCCTCTGCTCCATGTGGTGTCCAGACTGAAATGGAAGAAGGAAGGAGGGAGAAGGAATGAGTGGTGGCCTGGTGCTTCTCCTCCGCGACCGACCACCATGGTGGTGTCTATATCTAAAATGAAGGAAGGGGAAGGAGTGGTTGGGTGTTGTCTGTTGTGGGTTTGAAATGGAGGAAGGAGAGAAGGAAGAAGTGGTATGTGTTCTCTGGTGGGTCTTTTTGGAGAGGAAGGAAGGAGAGAGAAGGAGGAGGAAGATAAGGATTTAGTGGTAGGGAATTTTCGTTTGTTTTTTTTTTTTTAATTTTTTTTAGAGAAGGGAGTGTTTTTGGGTATGCGGCTAACCGAACCAAAACGATAACCGATCATTCGGTGGTCAGCTAGCCGTAGTGTTCCTCATGGTCGGTGGTCGGCAATAGGAGATGGTTGCTCGATTTATCCTCGGTTATCGGTTAAACCGAAACCGACCGGCTGCCACGCCAATACGCACCAGTGTTTGGCTTCCAGACTCCAGTCCAGCTGCAAAAATCCCTAACTAATACAATGGGACCCACCAACAGCTGCAAAAAATTTCTGGTTGGACTGCAATACGATACGACTTTGCAACACACTATTTCGACCAAACATTATCATTGCCACCACACCTCCACTGATCGCGACCATTTATTTATATAAAGAAAGAAGGAATCTTTCGAGCTGTAAAAACACCCACCAATGGGCCGCACGCTACCACAAAACACCAATGGGACAATCGATCCATTCCACTGGGCAGCAGGGCAGGCACATGCAGACATAATTTTTGTAATTAATTAAAGTATAGTAGCGCAGCGCCTCGATCGCTAATTTACATTTTAACACAGACGTGAATGAGAAGGATCCAAATGAGAACATTACACGCTGCCTGTTATACATTTGACCATCTCTCCAAAATTTGGGCATTCAGCCGGCCAACAATAACAGCATAGTCTGAGCAGTAGTACGACCTCATGTTTGTACATACACACATGTATTAATTTGTAGTTAATTAACGTGGGAGAAAAACAACAAACTGTGAATATGTATATATAATTAATAACGGAAGAAAATGAATTGAATGAAGATGATAGAGACACCAGATAACCAACACCAAAAACCGACCGAGAGCCATCCCATCTCATCGGCAATCAGTGGACGTAAACGTGTCCGGAAATCCCCCAGGAATGCTGGAGTGAGATTGCCCGTCGTGAACCAACGAAGACCCAATATCGCTACGAGAATACATGGTCGAAGTACCTTCATCTGCTTGCCATCTCTGCAGGAACTGAGGGAGGCTCATGTGCATATCGATGCCGCCACAGTTCTCTTCCTCCTCCTCTTGACTACTTGGCTTCCACTGCTCCACCAACGGGCCTAATATGTTGACGGCATGGCCCATGTCAGGCCTCTGCTGGGGCTCCCTTGCTGTGCAGTGCCCTGCGAGCTCCGCCACCTTGAGTATGCTGCCCAATGTCTCCTCATCGTCTGGGTTCAATGCCTCGTCAATGGCTTTGGGGATGCTCTCCTTGTTGATCATCAGTCTCCTGAACCACGTCACCAAGTGGGACCGCTCATCTGGTAGATTGTCGTCCAATGCTTTCCTCCCCGTTACTATCTCCATCAAGATCACTCCGAACGCGTACACATCCACCTTTCTCGTCACTCGCCCGGTCGCTGATACCATTAACACAACAGGGAGGGATTAAACCGGATGAACCAAAGACATGAGACTTGAGAAATGAAACTCAACTCAGACCTACTAATATCTGCAAGATAAATGTGTTTCTACACGAATTGCAAATCATTTGCAATATTATACGGCAGTTAGTTATACTCAGACAAACACATCGACAAACCAAGCTGGATCAAATAAACCCCAACCCAAGAAGAGTATGTAAGATTCTTACCCGCATACTCGGGAGCAAGATAACCAAAAGTGCCAGCCAATCTAGTCTCCAAGGAATACTTCCCATCGGGTGCATTCTTAACCAAACCGAAATCAGCAACCTTGGCCCTCATATCATCCCCCAGAAGTATGTTTGAAGGCTTCAAATCTCTGTGAATGAAGCTCTGCTGAGCCAAGCTGTGCAAGTACTCCACCCCTCTCGCAACATCCAAAGCAATGGTGATCCTCTGCTTCCAATTAAGAGGAGGCGAACCACGTTCTCTCCACTCAAACAAATGCTGCGCCAGAGTTCCCTGAGGCATGTACTCGTAAACAAGCAGCCTCTCGTGGCCATTGACGCAGTATCCCAATAGGGCAACAAGATGCCTATGCCTGACTTTGGTCAACACACCAATCTCCGCCTGAAACTCATTCAATCCCTTGGTACCCATTGCTGATGATTCCATCCTCTTCACAGCAATTTTAGTCCCGTCGTGAAGCTCACCTTTGTAGACTACCCCGAACCCTCCTTGACCGAGAATGTTCGCCTCGCTGAAGTTGTCTGTTACTTGCCGGAGAACCTCGATCGAGATCACGACGTTACCACCTTCAAACAGGTGGCGATCACTGTGTGTCCCGCTGCTCTGGCTCTGCATCTCGCTCAGAGTTCCATAGCCGTTTGTGCAGCAGCTTGCTGCTCCATTGCTCTTGTTGGCAGCTAGAACTCCAGTTTCTGAGTCTTTATTCAATCCCTCGGACTTCACCCGTATTTTCTTCTTCTTCATGACAATGCACTTGAACAGCACAAAGAGGACAAGAGCAACGAATACAATCACGACAGCGACCACGCCGACAATCATAGCGGGAGAGGCCTTGCTCTTGCCGCTTCCGCCGCTTGATCTGTCCGTGTTGGTGGAGTTGGCGCCAGACGGGGAACTCGATCCATCAGGGCCCGGAACATCCGTCCCAAGCAGCGCATTTCCAGGCTGGGTTATGAACTTAAGCGCGGAGGAGGAAGTGAGAGCGGGGGGGACTATACCTGAGAGGTTGTTGTTAGAGACGTCAAGAATTCGGAGCTGAGTCAACTTGGAGAGGGAGTCTGGGATTGACCCGGAGAGATTGTCGTCGTTGAGGTACAAGTTCTTCAAAGCAGTGAGGTTTGAGAAAGCAGGGGAAATGATTCCACCGAGTCGCTGCTTCCCTAAATTGACAGTGCTAACTTTTTTCTGGGAGTCGCAAATGACGAAGGCCCAATCCCCGCAGGCGTCGTTCCCTGTCCAAGAATCCGACAGGGAAACCGGGTACCCGAACCCTGCGGCAACCTGGAGGAGAGTATTGACCTGAGGATCGCAATCGACGCCAGGGGTCGGAAGGCAGTAGTTGTTGATGTCGTTATCGTCCACTTTCACCTCCTCAGCGAACTTGGGCTTAGGGCCCTGGAGTTTGTTGTTGGAGAGTGAAATGTTGAGCAGGGCAGGGAGGGAAAGGATGGCCGGCGGGATAACGCCGGTGAACTGGTTATCACGGAGCTGCAAGTCGAAAAGATTCTCGCATTTGGACAAATCGGGGATGGGTCCTGTAAATTGGTTCTTGTGGAGCCATACCTGTTTCAAAGAAGCCATGGAGGAGAGCACATCGATTGGGCCAGAGAGACCCATGAGCTGATTATTGAGCCAGAGATTCTGAATCCCCGAGCTGGAGAAGGAATTTGGGAGGGAAGAAGTGAGGTTGTTGTAAGAAAGCCTGAGGTTTTGCAGGGAGGGAAGGGAAGAGAATATGTCAGGGATTGGGCCGGAGATTCGGGCATTGCTGGCTTCGAAGGTGGTGAGAGATGAGGACTGATTGAGATCGAGAGGGATTGGCCATGGGGAGAGGTCGAGGTTGTCGCTGATGGAGAAGATCTGGAGACTGGTGAGGCCATGAAAGAAAGTGGGTGGAATGGAAGTGAAGTTGTTGGAACTAAGGTAGAGCTGCTGGAGGAATGAGAGGTTGGGTAAGCTTGGGATGGAGCCGGAGAGCTGGTTTTGTTGGAGGGAGAGAGTTTGGAGCTGGGTTAAGGTGGAAAGCTCATCCGGGAGGGTGCCCGATATGCCTTGTTTAGCGAGGTTAATGGAGATGACTCGATTTGAGGAGTCACACTTTATACCTTCCCAGTTGCAGTAGGAGGAGGAGGTGGTGGTGGACCAGCCGGTGGGGGTTGGGGAGAGGGCGGCGGCAAGCTTGAGCATGGCGGCGGAGTCATCTGCTGCGGCGGTGGAGATGAGAAACAAGACGGTGGCGGTGAGGAAGATGAGTAGTGGGAGATCCGGCATTACGGATGAACTTTGTAGGGGATAGAGTCACAGATGGATGTGGGAGCTAGCTAGGAAATGAGATTGATTTGTGGGAGCTTTTATCATTCAATCTCTCCCAGTCCCAGCTGGAGGAATGAAGAACGGCTGGGAGCTGCTGGCTCGGAGGCGGTGCGGTGGCTCCTCTTTAGTCCTCTCTCTCCCGTTTGCTGTTTCTTCTTCTTCTCTGCTTTGGCTTTGCTTTTCTCTTTTTCTTTTCGGGTTGCAGTTTATGCGACGCTCGTCTCGTCTGGTAATTTTGACTTGAAGATAATGGTGTGAGCTGGGCCGGGTGTTGGCCAACCTAATAATAATGATTACTGCACTGCCCTTCTTATTCTGTATAGAGTTCATTTCCTTCTACTTATCAAAATGAGCATGCATTGATTACAATGTATTAATTTAAGTATCATCAAATTCAAATGATTCAGATTTTGTGTGGGGTGTTTCCTTTAAGGGAAGAAATTTAATTTAAACTGTCTTTTCCGACAAAGTTTTGGGTTTTTAATTCACATTCTAGTCAAAATATCGTAGGGGAAGTTATTTATTGTCAAAATATCTAAAAATTATAATTACTAGTGACAAACCAGTTTGCTTACGCTTTGTGGTTAATGAAAAGTTACAACTATGCTTATAAATTTACGGAGTAAATAGGAATCAAAACTGTCACTAGAGCTATAGTTCACATCTATATTGTTTTTGTCCACGAATATGTGAGTAGTACTACTATGGAGAGATGTCGTCAAATTTATCTAAATTTTGTTTACTAGTCGATACAACATTCATTCGAACAATAGGTGGTTAATTGAACAAAAGTAAAGCGATGTTCGAAAGTTATTATAAGTGGTTCACTGAAAAAAATAGTAGAAGTTTTGCACGGTAAAGTTTAACTGAAGTATAGTACTTCAGAGATCCAACAATACCATATTCCTGCAACCTAATGAAGAAGCTTAGGTTTAAATTTTCATCAAGATATCCATTAAATTACCTTTTGACTTAGGAAACAACATTAACCATGTAGAAACCAAGAAGCAAGCTATGTTCTTGGTTTTGGAAGACCACCTGTAAACAAAGAAAAATAGCAAGATATAATATATAAAAAAAGATATAGAAAACTCACCTTCCAAACATATACAATAGCCCCTAGAGTGGAATTTAAATGGAACTCATTATAATAA